TTCCTTCTTCAAGGTCACAGCCCCCACTACTAATAGGGCTGTCACCTGGGCTGCAGTATTCCAGAAGAGCCCTAGAGGGAAGCAGAGAGGGAAGCAGTGTCTATTACCTTACTGCCATCTAGTGGTTGATTACTGCAGCCAAGATACAGCGGCCCTTCTTGTAATGGTATGTGGGAATGACCGTGGGAGACAGGAGGAAGAACCACAGCCTAGACAACGGTCTGATAAGCAAAATCTGAGTCCAAAGGAGGGGTGGGAGTGGAGAAGGTGTCTCAGAAGGGACCCTCCTTAGTTTTCAGGAGAGCAGAAGTAAGGGAGGGGAAAGGTACTTTCAGACTTGTAAGATTCCAGTACGGTAACCTTACAATAAAGGTAGTGTTAGTACTCGTGGTTGGTGTTTCTTGTCTGGACTGCCTCAAAGGGTTGACAGTTCTACTCAAGAAAGAAACAAAGGCTTTTTTTTTCCCCTTTTGGAACATGCAGACAAAAATAACTTGGTTGTCTTCTAAAACCCAAACCTGCAGTGTGTTTTTTCATCAGCAACATACAAGAAACAACAAGGTTCATACAGAGAAATTCAGGGCTTAGAAGACTTGAGTATAAACTGGCTGCACTGTTTTTGGAACAGAGTTTGCCATACTTTATCTCTCTAGTGTTGGAATGACTGTTCTCTTATGCGATCCAGTTATTCATTGCTGGAAGAGACCCCCTCAAAGGCAATGTGACAAACTCATCCGATTGATTCTGAAGTGAGCCTTTATTTAAAAGCAAAATATAATCAAATGACATTTCACTGTGGAATTGTCAATCACATTGTACCGTGCTCCCTTAGTCAGAAACCTGTTAATCAGCATTGTTGTCTGAAGAGAAACAGTTTGCAAAACTTACTTCTGAATGGCCCAATGAATTTCTGACAGTTTAGTTGCAGAAAATGCATATTAAAGAGGCCACCACGTGTTTGCATGCACTTAAAGCTATAAACCCATGTTTGGCCATCACTGTTTTGTTTTCCGTGCTCAGAGCCATCCCTTCATAATTAGTAATCAAAATTCATCCAAGCGTTTAATGTTCCATCTCTAAATGATGATTAATAGCGAACAATATGGACGTCTAAATCTCATCTGAAATGGAAAGGACACGTTATGTTGGCAAAATAATTGAGCATGTTGCTGGGCTGCGCAACAGCTTTGTAAAAATGAACACAATTGCAGGGATGAATCCTTAGAGAAAGAATAAATACTGTATTAGGCAACAGAGGGCTGAGAGCTTGATCTAGGTTAAAATCAATAGAAAGAATTCCCCTGAATCGGGTTTAGAATCTTAATTCACCACAGAAAACTTGCTCCTTAACAGAAGCAAGCTTGCTGTATTCCTCTTAAAAGAGACGCATTATGCTAGGCTAGAAGTTCCTGCACTTTTCGTTGGTGCCTGATGGAATTAATAAATTAAATTAATTGATTTAAAAACGTAATGCCCCTGAGTTGGCCAAAGCAGCGAACCCTAGAGCTGGTTACCACTGTGTCTCTGCATGATTTACTGCTCTGCCTCATATCCTCCCATTCAGCCTCTGCTGGGGATCAATACTTCACTAGTATTGAGTGAGATTGAATTACCTGATAATTGAATAACCATTCCTTTGCAGAACTTAATCAGAATTACCAGCTCTCAAAGGAGACTGCCCATTTCATCCATTCATGACTCACTCCTGGGCCCTTTTCTCTTCCAGGCAGCCTCTGCTGCTGGACTGACGTGTACAAACCGCATCGGAAACAACAGCCAAATGCAACAATCCAAATGCACAACTAAGTAGGTTAACATTCACTTTAAGTTAACCCCAAAGTTCATTGAGGCCTCCACCTTCAGTGCCTACCAAAGGCAGTAGGGGACAGAGCAAACTTCCTCAAGGAAGCCACATTTTGTGCAAGGAGCGATAGAAGCTGGTAGCTGCAGGAAACTAAGATGCATCCAATTATATCTCACCTTTAAAAAAAATAAAGTTTAAGGGAACGAGCAAAAAAGTAAGTTTGCATAAAATAGAAATGTAGGTATGGATAGTAAGCCCCTGTGCTCCTTCCTCCCCCTCCCTTCTTGGCCCTTCCCCATCATCTGGATGACCCAGCGGCCAATCAAACAGCAGCAGCCAATCAAGCAGCATTGGGCAGGAGGCAAGAAGGAGGGAAACAAGATGGCCGTCTGGGAGCTCTGCAGCCACAGGCCTCACAAGGAAGAGGCTGAATAAACAAAGCCAAAG